TGTGTGTGTGCATATGTGTGTGTGTATGTGTGTGTGTGTGTGTGTGTGTGTGTGTGTGTGTGTGTGTGTGTGTGTGTGTGTGAGTGTGTGTGTCGAAGAATGTTCTTAACCGGATACATAAAATGTAATAATTTTCATGTCTGGAGGTTTTTAATACAACTTTTCTGTGAATAAAATCCAATAGATTTTAGCGAAAAAGCAAAACTCTGAATCAATCCTGCCATATTTGCAAAAAATGCCAACACTTATCGATTTCTAAACCTACAATAAAAGACAAACAAACAACTACAAAAGCAAAGCAAACAAACGCGCAGAGTGCATCCACTTTAAAAGACAACATAATTTCTTACGATGGATAGCCCTAACAGTCGTCAAGACATAGATCTAAGTCTTTCAGATGTACACGTACCAGCGTGTGTTGTTGCGTTTTGGCCTTTCGCAGTCGTACACAGGACAGTTGGGTTCTTCTTTGGTAAGTGTATTACGGCGCTTGCAATTGCATACGGTCCTATGAGCGCGCGGGACACATTATTAAGCATTTTCAGTTTGGTAGGAATTTTTTTTTGGAATTTTGCCAGGGCAGCGGGCGATCTACTCTGATCGATTTTATGACCACCAATGGATCTTTAACGTTCGCAACATGCACACGTATGCCTACGTCCAATATTTTTTTCGTCTGTATCCGAGAAGGCCAAGTGTTGCATCTTACTCCAGCTAAGATCAGGGATGTGACTGAAGGGCAACAACAAGAAGGAGCCAGAAGTAGCAGTAGAAAGTGTCAGGAGCCCAGAGGGAAAGGAGGGGGGTTGGGGGGGGCAGAAAGTGGAGATGGAAGCAGATGACAGAACATGAATACTCTAAGGTATCGAATAAGCGCACCCCACCGCCCCGGCTCCTTATATTTTTCCATCTTGCCACGACCGATGATCTCGCGATTATATGTAGATTCTAGATATCTGAATTAAACTTTTTTTGGAAATGGCAAATTACCCTCAGTATTAGTACCGGTTCCGGGTTGGCTACCTCAATTGTCTGTACATTTGAAAATCTTTTGTACATTGGTTCACATTTTTTTATGAAACTGGTTTGTTCTTGAAAGGGAATAGTTCTCCCAGTAACTTACTAAAATCACTAAAAGTTCATTATCTCATGCTCTTTTATTCCCTGAGGGAGAAAT